AATTCCTTCCATGATCCCCAGTGAAATATTTCACTAAGGTGTGGTATTTCTAAATGGAATGAGCAATCACTGGAAGCACTGGGAGATGAGGAGCCAGAGACATATTGGTAAGGTGGCGTGTGAGATGACCTTTCAGTTCATCTAAGATGAAACGAGGCTGCTGAACCCGAAATGATTCAGAGTGTCTAAACTGACAGGCGAGGGCACGGCCGCGGCAGAGCGTCAGCCTGCTGCCCCGGCCTCTGTAGGCATCTCTCATGATTTATTGTGAAATTGCCAGGGACTCAATGTGGCGTGCAGGTGAATGAGTTTTGCTAATAAGAGAAGCATTTCTGCTCCACAGAGCTCTTTTTCTGTCTGAGCGAGCGTGTATGAAATCAGTGTGCAGTCTCCCAGTACCACACGCTCTGGTGGAGGCGGCTGGCTCATCAGTCTATGGTTTATCTGATGTTTTAGGTGGGTGGAGAGGTTGGGAGTGAGGAGAGAAAAAGAGGACAAAGCGTCAATATTGAGTTCTTGAAGGTACCTGTGTTGTTAAATATTTAGGTTGGGTGCATGTTGTGTTGCTTTTCCTCAGAAATTGGATTTGCAGTAAGACCATGCCGTGCTGGCAAAATCCTACAAATAAAAACACTGACTATCAATGATGAAATTACAATATAATTCAGAACTAAAGCACTAATGTTTGTCATTGCTGTGTGTATTTGGAGGAGGCGTATGGAGCAAAGGGGTGTGAGCTGCAATAAGAGACAAAGATCAGTGGCTGTGCTTTGATTTGTAACAAATTATGTTCAGAAAAACGGTGAGCCTATCTGAGACAGCTGATGTTCCTTTATTGTATGGCTTGAACATCAAGGCTTCAGAGGAGGACACCTTGTCTTGGCCACTTTAGTAAATTGCGTGTAAAGAGACTTAGCTTGCCTTTGCCTCTGCTTAAGAGCAGTTTCTCCAAATCCTCACCCGGGAAAAACGTCAATCATTCCCACAGTATAAAAGGCTACTGTCCCCTTTTTTTCTTTCCTTCTTTCATGATTGTTTGATTACCCAAGGTGAGGTTGTTTTCCAGTCATGGCACAGAGAACACATCCTTCATAAACTGTGATGCCTTATGATGCCACAATATGCTGCTGCAAAGGTGACAAAAGGTCAAGTGAACAACACCATTGTAGAGGGCCGACATATGGCGGTGATGTGCAAAGTGAATCCTGAGACTAATATGCTTACTGTCTTCACAGTGCGGTCTTAAAAATGGTTTAAGAAGATGTACGTATTACTCCAAGAAAGAAAGAAAGAAAGAAAGAAAGAGGAGTCTACTATTGATGAGTATAGTAACAGGACAGGCATAGAAGTCATCTGCTTTATTTACTTATGTCAAACAATAATACATAAGAGAGGAGAGGTCAAATGAAAACCAACCATCTACATTAAAATAAAGAAATTTCAGTCCTGAGATTGACAAAAAGTAGGGAACAGACAAAATATCTACTGTGGTCGTTGGGATGGAGGAGGGACAGTGGCAGTTTCAGCAAATTGAAGATGATGGTTGTGGGGAGATTAGGGGAGATTGCAGAACTGGAGAGGGGGTAGAAGGTAAGCAATCACTGGGATGCTTGGCTGTAGGCACATTCAAAAGTTGAAAACCCCACGACTAAAGGATTTTACAGCTTTTTTTTTTTTTTTAATATTCAGACTTCTTATTTCGAAATCTAAGACTCATATATTATCATTTTCAAAAAAGAAGAAAAAAAAGCAAGGTATCCTTTACATTTTTTCATCCTGAGGAGACAAAATCATTTTTTAAACATAAATACAACACTGCAGGGAGAACAATAAGAGAGATGCTTTATAGATTTCCCATTTCCATATATATTATTTTCTCAAGGTTGCAGCACCCTCAGACTTTGGCAGCGTTGGTGCATTTGAGATCATTCGGGAAAAAACAGCCCTGTTTGTCCACAGGAACATTCTGAGAGCCACACAAACAGTAAAAGGAAACAGGAAGAAAACAAGCAAAATCCCCAGACTTTTGTGTTTAGATTGGATACATCAATATACCCACCACATAAACTAGATGAATATTTGGAGGCCATAAGCTTTTTCAGCTGAACATACATAGTTGTGACGCTGAAGGAATAAAATGCTGTAAGCCCCTGGAATTACGACCTGCTGCACTGCCTTTTTAGAAAAGGGCTCTGGGGCTGTGCCTTTGGAAGAAAGATCCTGATTTATTGTGTGATCTGTGCTGATTTTTAACTTGTGTTGTATTTAATAAAAAATAAATAAATAAATAAATAAAATGTGTGGTACTCACATGTGACCCATCCAGTTTTATTCAGTAGCACTAAAGAGATGGCAATGTGCTCTAACTGTGGCAAAACACAGCAAATCTTTTAATGATATTGTGCAATACAGCTATAAGGCTGGTGGGTTAACTATACAAGCCTCCCCAGGACCATCTGAATTATTGACTAAAGTATTTTCTTGCTAGGTAGGAGCCAAATAGAGAGGACTGACCGCATGACTTTATCTTCTCTTAGCCACTAAGGAGGGATGTTGGGAAGGACTCTGAGATGAGAGCACCAGGGGTCCAAGGGCAGCCAGGGGACATGACTGAGGTTGACCAAAGCGGTGCAGAGTGGACGTCACCCCCCACCCCCCACCCCTTTCTGTCATTTGTAGGTTAGAGAAGCAGCGCCAAGACTCTACAGAGCGAGCAGCTGCCTTTATTTTTTCTAACCCTGCCCTCCCCTCCCATCCCGTCCCCTCTGTTTTGAGAGTGAAAGAGCTGACCCTGCTCTGAACGGGTCTGTCCGCTCTCCTTCCTTCTCAGCAGTGTTTAAGGTGCATAACGTGCATAATATGCAACTAGACCTTTGCACTAGGTTAAGGTCTTCATGGACTTATTGGGATTTACGAAAGGATTTTTACAACCAGCATAAGTCAATTTCCCTCCACTTTGCCCTCAGGCCTTCCTTGTGAGTATCTCATTGCCCTTGAAAACGTGTTAACAGTCAATAGTCTGTAACCACGGAGATAAGTGATAGATCTTAACGTCCTCATTCGGATGGTGTTTGAGTGGTGTAATTTATCATTTCCTGGGCAACATAACTTTCCAAGCATTAAAAACTTAATTATAAATGAAGCTCTTACTCACTAGAATTTAGTAAATTGAGGCACAATAAGTCTTTCAGTGAGAAAGGTGGTTTCTTCAGAGCTTGAATCTGAATATGAGGCCGCAGAGCCAAAGAGGGGAGGCTGAAACCGGCACCAGGAACATGGCAATTATCCTGATTACTGATGCTTCGAGGCTTCTCCCCTGTAAAATCCCTCCCTGTATCTTTCTCTCTCTTCCCTTTTTTTTTTTCCTTTGCTGAGATCTGTCACATTGCACAGGGCCCCTCAGCCAGGCAGGGAGCAACCATGTATAATCCAACAGAAAACAAATCCCCTCGATCAAACACAGCCCAGCTTTTAAAGCAGGCCTCTGAGCCCAGGCGCCATGGTGTGGTGCTGAGGCCCTCTGAGACGCTGTGGAGGCTGTGATTTAGCAACCCCATCGCCCCCCAACCCCCCCCACCACCACCCTCCCCTACAGACCCTGCTGTCCTCCCCTTCAGCGCCAACCAGCCAGTCCTAACCTTCAGTTTGTTTAAGCACTGCTGAACCCTGTTGGCCCCGGACAGGGGGAGGGTGGGCTTAGATAATGACATGCCATATGCCACTCTGCCTCTGCAGCTGAGTGAGCCGTGCATGGATCAGCTCAGGCACAAATCTATTTGAAATTTAATTCTATTATCCTAATATGGGCTAAGCGTCCATTGTCCAAATCGGGAATAGTGGAATGGACCAGAGATGCAGGGCTAAGATGCATCCCATCAATAGGAGCTCATTAATGTGTGTAAAGGACTGGGGGGGACAGACAGTTGGGAGCCTGTACAGTAGAAAATGTGGCTACAAAGCAAAGATGCTAAAAGTAACTAAATACCACCTTATATGTAATAAAACTGCTCTGGAAATCAAAATTTTGCAATAAAAAAATAATTTTATTTTATGTCATGCCATGTCATTTTGTGTTTTATTTAGTTGAACTTGGCTCAAAATGGCCAGATTCCTCTCAGTACCTAATAGGAAATCCCTTGCTATTTGAAAAGGGTTTTGATTTCAACCCTTTGAGTGAATGAATACTCTCTACTGGCACTGTCCAACAGCCAGGCGTCACCCAATATTCCCATTAGCAGAGAGGCCTGGTGCTTCAGACCTCCACTGGTGGGAAAGGCCAGACACCAGAAACTCCACTGCCTCAAGTGTCTCCTCTTCACTTCAACATCATGTGACAGGGTTTAATGCTTGGATGCAGAAGCCAAACGGAGGGGATTTAGGGACGGGATGTATCTGTAAATCTGTCAAAATATTTCTACAAGACAGAAAATATGCTGGAATCAGACTGTGGCTGGGGTATTAAGCTGTTGAAACAACATGAAAATTTTTCACTGGAATGTTAAGGAGGCTTACTGTGCAAATTTAAGCCAAGGGGCTTGGTATTCTTTAGGCTGAAATCTTTGTCAGCCTTCAAAGACAGTGGCTCAAAAATTTAAGGCTCATAGTTAAGATTAAGCAAGGGTTATCTTGAGGGAGAAAAAGGTCTATTTATGGAGCGCAAATGATCAAAGAAACATTAATTCCTGCTTCTTCTTTAAAAAAAAAAAAAATCTATCACATCTTCAGGATTCATGGGTAAATAATTTCCAACAATGCTGTCTGTCCTTTTATCTTTGGATGGCCAAAGTGTAAACATTTAAAAGATGGTCAATTAAGTATACTAGGTTTTGTCAGTGACAGAGGTTTTACTACTACAGTACAGTACAAGATCACACATCATGCTCCACTTTGCATCTCACAGAGCTGCTGAAACAAGGGCCCACTTACTTCCCACTTACCTCTAGAGGACATACGTTAAAAAATAATGACAGACTTCAAAGCCAAGATGTGGCCTCTGAATATATTCTTAAAGAAATTTATTTTACACCTCAAAACAAAACAAAAAAAAAAAGAATAGGGATTAGGGATGTGGTACATTGGGAATGTATTGACAACTGTAGTTTACATTTTTTTGGTGTAAGCTCAGAGAAAAAATGTTAATACAGTCATAATAATTGCACTTCATAAATCTAGACTGATGCCAGTATTTCCCCACAACAAAGCTGCGAATCTCTCTCTCTCTCTCTCCAGTTAATAAATTCAATTTACCATTGAAATTTGACTGACAAAAGAAATGCTAATTTAAGACCAGAGGACTGCTGCACTGATCCAATTTTTCTCTTTCACTTGAGTCCCACAAGGCAATGAAACATCGCAGTAATTTAAGTGCAGTACATTCAAGGGAATCTCACAGTCATTATAAATATTTCACTGCTCTGAATCATCAAGTTAAGACTGGCCCAGGCTAAATGCATCCCAACCAGGGGCTGAAAAGGACAAGGGAAAGCATTGAGCGTCGTCTCATTTCAGCTGACGCCAGAGGACAGGGCATGATTGTTTTAATTTTGTTTTTGTTTGCAGGATCAGGGGTGAGGAGTACCCCCAAAATAGGATTTCCATTTGTGTCTGCCTCTCTCTGTCATTATGATAACACCTGCTGACAGTGGAAGGGGCTACAGTACCGTCACTACAGTTACAGTATAATGGAGTCATGTGAGAGCTTGATCTCTACTACCTCCAGCAAATATCTAAAGCCTCCACTAAAAGGGAGCAAGATTTGCAAAAGATCTCCTGTACATTACTCAGATATGATGTTTACAGGACTGGTGAATCAGCTTTTCAGTCTTGGTGGTAGAAATCTTGAAATGACACAATAAAAAAATGTTTTAAAAAAAGTCTGAGGATTTTGAAGAACACAAACTAAAATGCACACACGCGCATGCACTCAGCCACATACACGCATTAACATACACGTAAGGTTATGTAGATAACCCCCCCCAATCACATTCTTCATTGTAACATTTCTTTTTCTTGAATTTTTTTGCGACATTTTCTTTTTAAATAAGTATTTCAAGATTTATTGTAGATTCCAGTGTTGGTTAGGAAAAAAAACAGAAACTCTCAGACCAGGTTCTTACAGAACCAAAGCAGCGACTATGCCTCACACCAGGACATAAGAAACTGCACATCAGCTTGAGGAGGAATCATTAAATCATAAAAACAAAACTGGAAAAAAAAAAAAATAAAAAAAAATGCATTTGAGACACTTTTCCCCATAGCAGCCAATGCATATAATATACCTACAAATATATAAAACAACAAAAAATAGGTTCAAGTTTTTCAAGTTTCTTAAATATATCATATCCACACTACCCAATTCCAAACTTCAAAGTTAACAAGATTCAAGCAGTGCAATTTATGTATCAATTATAACAGCAATAATAACTAATATTGTACTATCCTTTTAATTCAACCTTATGATCCTTGTAAATTACACCCGAGTACTGCCTATAATCTTATTCTTCTCATGTATAAGTATCTGGATGTTTGTGTTTATGTGTGCACTGTTAAAGAGTTTTGGATTTTGACAGCAGCCCTAAACTTCGGCCCTTTTAAGGCCATTTCAGTGACAACCTACACAGTAGCTTCATCCTTAGTATTTGGAAGGGGGATACAAGTGCTGTATGCACTTCATGTCACGCTATGATTCTCGTCAAAAAAGTTCAGGCAAGTAAAACAACAACAACAAAAACAAACAAAAAAAAAATCACAAAAAAAAACAAAAACAAAAAAACAGAAGAAAATCAATCCATAATTCCTATTGGCAAACCACACAATGGAACATCTGGAGAATCTTGAAATCCCTTTTCTCTCCCACTGGCAATCACTACCACCTTTCATATTTGGGATTCCCACAGCCTGCCTTGAAAACCACCAAACCTAGGGTCACACAGCACAACAACTGCCCTTGTCTAAGCTCCCACACTAGTTAAAGCAGTGCCACTCGTAGCCCAAAAAAACATCTCGGTTCTTTAACTTTGATTTTCTTCACAAATTCACAACTCTTGATTCTTTTCCTCCTCTTCTTCCCCCTCTATCTGTAAACAGGGAGGCGGATGTGTGCATGCTGGTGGTCTAACAGACGTGGCACAGACACAGTCTCGTAGCCTTTGCCAAGCATCTGCTCCTTGATGCAGGGTGGGTGGATGTCGTTGATCAGGTACTCCAGAGATTGCAAGCTGCTGCTCAGCACTGATGTGTTGCACAAGCTCTTGCTGGGCAGGCTGCAGCACAAGCCTCCGCCGCTGTCTATAGCAGGGTGGTGATGATGGTGGTGGTAGTGGTGATGGTGGTGGGGGTAACCCATCTCTCTGTGCCCCGTGGCCGGCCCTCCTGTAGAGGTAGCCAAAAGCTCCTGGGTGTTGTAGCAGTCACTGTCAGGTGTCACCAGCACACTGTTCCACGGCGGGGCAAAGTATTGACCCACTGAGAAATTTCCATGCATACCCACGCAGTTCAAAGGGGAAGAGCTGACTTTGTCCATCCCGCCTCCTCCGCTGGCACTGGCTGTCAGGTGGTAAGGTCTGGAGGAAGAGGAGGACACTTGGGACGCCATAATCCCTCCACCTGGAACACAAGTTTCGGGGGACTTACTGATGGCGCCCCCTCCTCCACTACCTCCACTGTACATGCGGAGCACAGCCTGTTGCTGCTGCTGCTGTTGTTGCTGTTGTTGCTGCTTCTGCCAAAGAATATAGTCCATACCGTCTGTGTACACACCGGTCTTCATCGCCTCTGCATTTTGAGCCGGCAGCCCTGGCCCTGTGTACACCATGTTAGCCTGGGGACCCATTCCTACCACGTAGCCTCCACCTGAGGAGCTAGAAGAGACCCCCATGACAGTTGTTCCCTGCTTGGAGGGGCTAGAATTTGACGGTGCAGTGGCAGCCCCTTGACACACCTGCTGCAGTGCCTGGGCCTGGCAATGCTGGTTGATCTGGTAGATGATGCTCTGGATGGAGGGGAGGTTGGACTGTGCGGGCAGGGCCAGGCCTCGGCCCCCTGTTACAGGAATCACTGAGCCAGCTACAGTGACATTTGGGGGTACTGACAGTCCGGGGCCTTCTGGAGGCTTTGAGGGCCCAGTGTGGTATACCATTTGGCCGTGGCCACTGGCTAAAGTGCTACTATTAGGGGGTGGGTACGGGGCAACGGCTATGTGGGCTGGAGAGAGCTTAGTCCGTCTGCCTTCAGAGTTCTTGAGGACACCTTTTGTAGGGACAAAGGTGGATGTTGATGATGATGACGATGAGGCGGAGGCCTTGACGATGGCGAGCAGGCCCTGGTAGCCCCCTGTGTGGAGGTGTGGGTAGGGACTATAGCGCTGCCCTGTGGTGTCATATCCATTCACAGTCCGGTTAAGGTGCTTGTGCTGGGGAACCCTGATGTTGGTGGGGAAGATCTTGATGGACAGAGGGCTGTTGGCCGTCTTCTGAGCGTAGGCGTCAAGTTCTGCCGCAGTGGGGTAGCGTGGGGAATGCGTGGGCACCAAAAGCTCACCTACAAGACAAACGGAGAAAAAGGATGAGTGAAATGAATGATTGAGATATAAACACACACATTCACATGGCTGTATGTGTAGAAGAAGAGAACAGCAGACGGGGGGTTTAATTACCAGAAATATCTTAGGAGCAGACAGCAAAGGCAACCACAAAATCAGATCAATCAATCAATTGCAATAACCACTTTGCTGCAACAGCAAAAAACTGGCAGCATTACAGTGACTACATCTAAAGCACACTGAAAAATGTCAGTGTTTCCACAAGAGCAGGTGAATAAAACCAGATGCAAACGGCAGACACGCTGCTGAACAACCCAAACAGAGTTTGCAAATTGTAAATCAGGACTGACATTCATTTATGTCCCATCACTCCCCTCCTCCATTTGAGCTTTCTTCCATCTCATTTTCACACCCTCCTGTGGAAGTTCATCCCTAGACAAATGGATCTTTTTAAAAACTCATTCTGTCAAAGCCTGGTACCTTAGGCGCTGTTAAATCAGTGCATTGTGAAATTAATTCGGACTCTCTTTAGCATTGAATTGGGTTAGCCTTGGATACCAGGCAAGGAGGGACGGAGGGGAGGGGATAAAAGCTTGTTTAATTGCAGTGGCACATTTGAGATTCATAAGTGGTATCACTTACTGGGTCTTACCCTTGGCCACAGAATTTCCACATTTATTCAATCCAGGAGTACGTGAAGAGACCCTCACAAAAAACCAATTAAACATCTACCGGGAATTACTAGCCTGGTTAAGGTGAACTATATCAGAACAAGCCAAGTCAAGAACGCTAGAGTGCTGCTATTTGCAAATGTGGACAAGGATAAAACTGAAAAATTGGTTTGGAGTTGAACACATGCTGCAAAGGATTAAAAAAGACAGAAACACATCATTGTTCAGATAAAATAAATAAAACATAAAGTGCACCAATGGTTTGTCCTTGTGTGACTATGAAATATTTCAATGAACAAGAGTAGCATACAAAGTGTTTTGGGCACATGTGCTATTGATTGTCACTACATGTCTTTCTTTTAAATGAACAAAATAATACACGTTGGAACAGACAAAAGGCAGGTGCATGCTCCCGTCACAAAGACTTTGCTATTAATGTACATGTAAATGCTCTGTTCCACTGTTCGCCATATGAAACCACTCCAATTCCAAAATTCAATTCAACAGTGAACGTGGCAAGTGAGACTAGCAATAGCCCTTGCTCAATGAGCCAATGCTTGGCCATTGTGAATTGAGGTGGCAAACAGGAAAATGGCAATTTCTAAAAACCCCACCATGTGTCATTGTTTGGGGGCTGGGCATAGAGGTGAGGGGCCGCGGTGAGATTGGATTTAAACGACATTATTCAGGCAATTTCATGGCTACTTAGCTCAGTGCAACAAAAAGGGTGGGGGGTTGGGAAAAGAACTCAATTTACAAGCAATATATCAGCTGCCACAAATGACTTGCAACCCCTTCAAAAATGACATTTTTATGCAAAAGCTAACAAAACGCACAAAAATTAACTGCCATAACTGTGCCGTCAGCAAATGTCCTGGCGACCCAAGGAGTCTGCAGGGTGCAGCCTGTGACTAGGACTCACTCCATTTCCTTTCCTATTGCAAAATCATTTTAAAGAGACTCCACAGCCAAGTAGTCACAATTCTCATTCCTTTGCTCCCATTACAGATAGCATGGGGAGTTCATTTTAACAACCCTATGGGTCTCCCACTGTGAAAATGATTAAATCTACAAGATCCATATCATAAAAGAAATAAATTGGGAATTTAACAGCAGAGACAAGAGACTATGAATTTCCCAAGCCAAATTTAGTGCATGACCTATTCCAGTCAGTTTGGTTCATCCTGCAGACAACATCAGAAACACTAGACTTCAAATTAGAATTTAATTTGTTAAAAAAAAAAAAGAAAAAGACATTAATGACTTAGTTTTAATCAGAGTGAGGGAACCTGGTGCCATCCTAATGGGCTAGGCTGAGTGTGGCAGACCAGCCTATCTGAGATCTAACCAACCTTACTGAGGCAAAGCTCTGCTTCCCTGGTGACAGCAGTGCCATTTGCTTTGATGTTCTGACTTGCAGTGGAAAACTGACAGAAGACTTATTTCATTTGCTCAGAAGAGAAAAACATGCTCATTTCAAAGCACATTGCTGGTCCACATGCAAATGGAATGGCAGCATTTTTTCTGATCTTCTTTACATGAGGGCAAAAAAAAAACATCTTTGATCATCACATGGTCTAAATGAGGGAAGATACGTGGCTTTCAGGCATATCAAGGGCCTGTGCCCTGCCGCCCCTACAAGCCCCCAGCTGCAATATGCCCATCATTCCACCTAATTACTGCCACATGAGAAAAAAAAACTATAAAAACAGCCAGGAAATTCATTAAAGGGTGGCTAATTCTATTCCTTCTCACTGACTGAGTCCATATTTTCCATGCCTGAGCCTGCATTTCTTCTGAGAGAGAGGAGGGAGCCCTCTCCCTCCGTCTTTTCCCAGCTTGGCCCTTGTTTGTCAATAGGCAGAGCCTTTGGCACACCAACCTGGCATCAAAGGGTTTCACACTTCACAGGCCACAGGGATTAGAGGCCTTTCAGGCCTACAAAACCCATCTCAGCTCCACAAAGGCTTCCGGTTATTAGAACCCACAGGCATAAAGGAAGAAGAGGAGGAGGAGGAGGCAAATGAGCATCTGGATGCTTCTGATTCCAGCTTCTTCTTTAAAAAGTTCCATGGTATAAATTTTATAGCAAAGTTGATTACAGTAAGTATGGCCACAAACTGGGGCGTAATTTCACTCTCATACACACTCTGTGTGTTTGATGTGCAGGGTCTCCACATCTCTCTCCTCCAGAGCAGTAAGTCTATAAGGGAGGACATGGAGGTTAAAGGAGAGAGTCTCTTTTTAGGCTGACGCTCTGTGACTTATTGGTTTAGGCTGCAGTAGATCATAGCTATGAGCAACAGCATACAGATGGTGCTGGCTGATAAACACCCTCTGAGGCAGCCAGCACTGCCCCCTTTGTGTGAGCCCTCACCTCCTCATAAGGTAGGGGGTTTCCTGCACCTGTGCACACTCTCCAACGTGGATCATGCATGCAAACGCAATGCATGAAGACGGAAAAATGGCACAAACATACACATACACTAGTACATACACACACATACACGCACACACAAACGCACACGTACACGTACACACACACACACACACACACACACACACAAACCTGCATCTGCAGTTGTGTGTCTCATTTGCCATCAGTGGAGCATGTTGTTATCCTCTGCTCAGCGCTCTCTCATGAAATGTAGGGCAGGGACAACAACAGGTGCCTGTGCGGGCGACAGCCTGCAATGCCTCCTGGGCTAAATGCTTCACACTCGCTTCATTTCGACATGCGACAGCCTTGTAAGGATTAATTATTTCCCCTGGGGATGGAAGAATATGCTTTTTCCCTTCCTAAGAGCAGGAGGCTATGTGCACTCACAAGCACATGAAACAGCTTATAGTAAATGAACAGGGGAACCTGGGCTAGCACTGCTTTTGCAATAAGCAAGAAAAAAACTTTCACATGAAAGGAATGTAAACAAACAAAATATGATTGAACTGCACTGGAGATGAGATAAAAGCTCAGGCAAACACATGCATTAGTTCTGAGAGATCACGCGCCAGGGAGCGGAGATGGCAGGGAGGCAATTAATGGGCTGACCTTCGTCCTTAATCACCCAGTGCCTGGCACACAATGCCCATGTGTCAGAGCAGCACATCTCTAAATGCCATCCCTCATTAGCACGATGCACGCAGTGAGAGAGGCTATCTGTGCAGTGTTACACTCTCCAGCGGTCAGACAGAGATAGCAAGGCTGGGATAGGATAACATGGCAGCACCGAGCCGGACTGAGCTGCAGTAGGCCATGATATGATCTAGAAATCCCATTTCACTTGGAGGATGGGCACTCTCCTTTCTCTCCATTTTTGATTGGCATGAAACTCCCCAAGCGCAACGTCCTTGGTGTACCCAGTTCTGTCACTGTGATTGCGTGTGTGCTTGTGTGTATGCACGCGTGTGTGTGTACATCTGTGTGCATTTGGTGAAGGGGGTACCCAATTCTGAACACTCAATTAACACTCCTTTAATTAGCCAGCAGTACATTTTGAATTCTGATGAACTAATTTTCTTGGTGTGAGGGTGGAGGAGGCGGGGGGTGGGGGGTGGGGGGGCGTCTGGTAAAGATGAGGTCCACTGGGTACAAAACAGCAATAAAGAGGGAACTGGTTAGATTAGACTGTAAAAAATCCATTAAATTCTGTGCACTTCTTCCAAGTGAGAGGTCAAATTGTGTTGATCACAAGAAGCAAAGGCAGACACGGAGAGTATGAGAGCAGGGAGTTAGGTGAGGAGGGGGAGGCAGAGGGGGGGCAGTGGAGAGAAAAAAAAAGAGAGGAGATAGGGAGTCAGAGGCTGTGTGAGAGTGCAGCACCAAATCCAGAAGACCATGAGAATGCTTTGCATTTTAATTAGAGGTTTAAATGAATAAGCAGAGGAAAAAGTCTGAGAGAACTGCCTGAAATGCCCATTTATTAGTGTTCCAAGTGTTCTCAAATTATGAGCAGGTTGGAGAAGTTTCTTCTTATTAGTGGAGAAAATGCTCCAAAAAGCCCTCAGCGTTTTCTCACTCACTCCTGCAAGCCTGTATGCCTACTTACAGCACGCTTTGATCCCCTCTGACCATGTTCGTTGGTGAGCAGGAGGAAAAGAGCGCTTGTTTAGATGAAGGGAGAGAAGCGTTTGGTTGAACTGCAATTAAGTTTTCACAGAACAACGAGTGCATAATACACATAAACTTTGGCTAAACAAAGAGAGCAGTCTGTGATGAGGTTAGGGCAAACACCAGGCATTGAGATTACCAGAAAGATGAAAGACAACAAGGGGTCAGCTTCGGTCCAACATCAACCGCACTCTCTCCGAGCCATTTCCTCTGAGAGCAA